CTCAGATATTCACCCTTTTTAACCTGATAACTTTTGCCCAAAGTGTATCTATGTGAGATAATAATCTGTCACAATTATGTTAACACTTACAAGTATCCTACAAGTGAGATTATTAACCTTGCCCGATAAAGGCACCTAATTTCCTGGTCCTCCTGCCTTCCATTGCCGCTCTGTAGATACATGTACGACATGTCTGTGTTCCCACGACCCTCAGAATGTCTCAATCTGAAGACATCTTGCACGTCATCCCAATGAAACAGATTTTAGCTAAATACTGACAGTGTTTAAAGGGTTGAATGAATATAATATGCTATTATTGCCAAAAATGACATTGATAAAATTATTTTCACACTATTGACATTGTGAGGATTGATTCTGCATGAAATGAGCATTTTCTTAAATTAATACATAAAATTAATTAGGATGCAGGCAAGCAGCTGAGAATTTTTCTAAGTATCTCATAAACAACTCCAGCTTCTCCCTTGGCATCCACTCTTCCATAAGTTGGTCACATCATCTGTGAGTGAGTGAGTTTAGTTTTACACAGTTTTTATCAATATTCCAGCAATATAATGGCTGGGGACACCAGAAACCAGGGCTACCCCAACACCATCTGTGAGTGAGTGAGTTTAGTTTTACACTGTTTTTATCAATATTCCAGCAATATAATGGCTGGGGACACCAGAAACCAGGGCTACCCCAACACATCTGTGAGTGAGTGAGTGAGTGAGTTTAGTTTTACACCGTTTTTATCAATATTCCAGCAATATAATGGCTGTGGACACCAGAAACCAGGGCTACCCCAACACATCTGTGAGTGAGTGAGTTTAGTTTTACACCGTTTTTATCAATATTCCAGCAATATAATGGCTGTGGACACCAGAAACCAGGGCTACCCCAACACATCATCTGTGAGTGAGTGAGTTTAGTTTTACACCGTTTTTATCAATATTCCAGCAATATAATGGCTGTGGACACCAGAAACCAGGGCTACCCCAACACCCCACATCATCTGTGAGTGAGTGAGTTCTGCTCAACTCTGCATTCAACATAACCCACCTAATTCCACAGTAAACAAACTAGTTGAGTCTGAAACACACAAACTACACTTCACAGGAAAGACTGTATAACAGCTCACTCTTACTCCTACCAATCTCTGGTGCAAGCTCTGCAACCAGAATCTTCAAAATTGTGTCTCAAATGTTTCTAAAAAGGATGGCTCTCCTCTCTGTTGAATTCATAATAATATTTTGCACAATAAATCATGTTCTGTTTGCGTATATCTGTGTCTTGTCAAGTAGCATACATTCAGGCTTGTTGACAGTAGCTTGCAGACAACTTGTAATCTCACCGAGAACAAGCTTGTGACAAAATAATACATCTCAACCAGTTTACCAGATACCCATATAGTTGTTATTCAGTTGCCATAATACTACTGTCCTTGAATAAAGCACATATTATCTCATCTCACTAAAAATATGCTTTAGTTACTTCATCAAATTTTATTTTGCTCTGATTTACAAAATTATAAAATACAATGATAATTCCAATCCAAACTGGGCAGCTACCAAATGAACATAAATTGTGTATTACACTACAGTTTTTAAAAATAATGTACACATTCAAAATCACTTTCCTGGCAAAATATTACCTGACTGAACGGAAATAATGACATATATTTCAAGTTAAACATGAAATTAAAAATATAAAACATATTAAGATAATAAAAATATGATAAGATGTTCCCATACACCCACAAATTGTACAATAAGCTACCTTGACATCCTACATCCAACACAACAAACCATGATATATGTATAATCGTCATGCAGACTATACAAAGAGATTAATCATGGTTTCAGAACCCCTAAGAGCAGCATCCTCCACACATGATTATATTCTGATAAGGAAATTATATTTGTCAGATAGCTGATAACGAAGCGGAAGTGGGCAGGGGTGACAGACTATAGAAAATCAAAAGGCGAACATTTCATCGTCCCATCATCGGTGTTGGAAAACAGTCAAAACACCACTTATTAATCTGGAGTTGGGTAAACATAAGAGGCTGGTTCTCGCCATAAAGACGTGAGAAAGCAACCAGTTTATACTCCAGGCAGCAGGGAATTAACTGGTGTTTATGAGTTATTGTTTATTTTCCATAAATACCCACTACGATGTTTCTCTGCAGCATGGGAAGTTGCCGCCCTGTGGTCCACTGGAGGGTAAGGAGGAGCTATACAGAAGAGGGATTCTCTGCTTAAATCAAGAAGTACTGATTCAAATTTCTTTCAGTATACATTTCAAGTCTGAAATCAAATTTGAAAACTAATAATATCCTGATATCACATTGATTGTTAACTTGAAAGGATAAAATATACAGTAGATTTCGACAAACAATTAACAATGGGAAGGATTGAAAAGTAAACTAACCATAGGATGGAAGGAGAAGTAAAGTAACCTATGGGATGGATTGGGAAATAAAGTCATCATGGGATGGATGGAGAAGTAAAGTATCCATGGGATGGATGGAGAAGTAAAGTAACCATGGGATGGATGGAGAAGTAAAGTATCCATGGGATGGATGGAGAAGTAAAGTAACCATGGGATGGATTGGGAAATAAAGTCATCATGGATGGATGGGAAAGTAATTATCCATGGGATGGATGGAGAAGTAAAGTAACCATGGGATGGATGGAGAAGTAAAGTAACCATGGGATGGATGGAGAAGTAAAGTAACCATGGGATGGATGGAGAAGTATGGATGGATGAATGGATGGATGGAGAAGTAAAGTAACCATGGGATGGATGGAACCAAGGGATGGATGGAAAATAAAATGGGATGGATGGAGAAGTAAAGTAATCATGGGATGGATGGAGAAGTAAAGTAACCATGGGATGGATGGAGAAGTAAAGTAACCATGGGATGGATGGAGAAGTAAAGTAACCATGGGATGGATGGAGAAGTAAAGTAACCATGGGATGGATGGAGAAGTAAAGTATCCATGGGATGGATGGAGAAGTAAAGTAACCATGGGATGGATGGAGAAGTAAAGTAACCATGGGATGGATGGAGAAGAAGTAAAGTAACCATGGGATGGATGGAGAAGTAAAGTAACCATGGGATGGATGGAGAAGTAAAGTAACCATGGGATGGATGGAGAAGTAAAGTAACCATGGGATGGATGGAGAAGTAAAGTAACCATGGGATGGATGGAGAAATGCTCAAGTAGTAACCATGGGATGGATGGAGAAGTAAAGTAACCATGGGATGGATGGAGAAGTAAAAAGTAACCATGGGATGGATGGAGAAGTAAAGTAACCATGGGATGGATGGAGAAGTAAAGTAACCATGGGATGGATGGAGAAGTAAAGTAACCATGGGATGGATGGAGAAGTAAAGTAACCATGGGATGGATGGAGAAGTAAAGTAACCATGGGATGGATGGAGAAGTAAAGTAACCATGGGATGGATGGAGAAGTAAAGTAACCATGGGATGGATGGAGAAGTAAAGTAACCATGGGATGGATGGAGAAGTAAAGTAACCATGGGATGGATGGAGAAGTAAAGTAACCATGGGATGGATGGAGAAGTAAAGTAACCATGGGATGGATGGAGAAGTAAAGTAACCATGGGATGGATGGAGAAGTAAAGTAACCATGGGATGGATGGAGAAGTAAAGTAACCATGGGATGGATGGAGAAGTAAAGTAACCATGGGATGGATGGAGAAGTAAAGTAACCATGGGATGGATGGAGAAGTAAAGTAACCATGGGATGGATGGAGAAGTAAAGTAACCATGGGATGGATGGAGAAGTAAAGTAACCATGGGATGGATGGAGAAGTAAAGTAACCATGGGATGGATGGAGAAGTAAAGTAACCATGGGGATGGATGGAGAATGGAGAAGTAAAGTAACCATGGGATGGATAGAGAAGTAAAAGTAACCATGGGATGGATGGAGAAGGATGGAGAAAAGTAACCATGGGATGGATGGAAAGTAAAAGTAACCATGGGATGGATGGAGAAAGTAAAAGTAACCATGGGATGGATGGATGGAACCATGGGATGGATAAAGTAAAGTAACCATGGGATGGATGGAAAGTAGTAAAGTAACCATGGGATGGATGGATGAATGGAAAGTAACCATGGATGGATGGAGAAGTAAAGTAACCATGGGATGGATGAGAAGTAAAGTAACCATGGGATGGATAGAGAAGTAAAGTAACCATGGGATGGATGGAGAAAGTAAAGTGTGGATGGAGAAGTAAAGTAACCATGGGATGGATGGAGAAGTAAAGTAACCATGGGGATGGATGGAGAAGTAAAGTAACCATGGGATGGATGGAGAAGTAAAGTAACCATGGGGATGGAGAAGTAAAGTATGGATGGAGAAGTAAAGGGATGGATGGAAAGTAAAGTATGGGGATGGATGGAGAAGTAAAGTAACCATGGGATGGATGGAGAAGTAAAGTAATGGGATGGGATGGATGGAGGAATGGAGAAAAAGTAACCATGGGATGGATGGAGAAAAGTAAAGTAACCATGGGATGGATGGAGAAGTAAAGTAACCATGGGATGGATGGAGAAGTAAAGTAACCATGGGATGGATGGAGAAGTAAAGTAATCATGGGATGGATAGAGAAGTAAAGTAACCATGGGATGGATGGAGAAGTAAAGTAATTATGGGATGGATAGAGAAGTAAAGTAACCAAGGGATGGATAGAGAAGTAAAGTAACCATGGGATGGATAGAGAAGTGAAGTACTCATGGGATGGATTAGTAAGGGATGGAGAAGTAAAGTATCCATGGGATGGATTGGGAAGGAATGGACACTCCTCTCTCACCTTTAATGTAGCATGTGGATATCAGGGAAGGTTGAATATCATGGTGGGTAGATGTTAACTTGGTTACAAAATTGGTAAAATTGGTAAAATCCTCAAGGGGTTCTTTCTTCTTCAAAATGGGTTCTAAAACTAGCATCTGGCCATGACAGATGATCATCACTGGGATGATGGGACAGGGATGATGGGACACAGGGATGATGGACACAGGGATGATGGGACACCGGGATGATGGGACACAGGGATGATGGGACACAGGGATGATGGGACACAGGGATGATGGAACACCGCGATGATGGGACACAGGGATGATGGGACACTGGGATGATGGGACACAGGGATGATGGGACACCGGGATGATGGGACACAGGGATGATGGGACACCGCGATGATGGGACACAGGGATGATGGGACACAGGGATGATGGGACACTGGGATGATGGGACACTGGGATGATGGGACACTGGGATGATGGGACACCGCGATAATGGGACACTGGGATGATGGGACACAGCGATGATGGGACACTGGGACGATGGGACACTGGGATAATGGGACACAGTCAAACCTGACCACCCCTCTACCATCTCACAATAGCAATAGACTGGCAACCCGTTCTAACCATGAAGCCCATTACAACCTGTGCATCAAAAGTTGCTGATATTAATTGAATTGTTGAACCTGTTGTTCTGTATAACAGTGAAGTATGGGGAATTGATTTTGTTCTGCAGAGACATATAGATTCTTTCCCACCTGAAAAATTACAAACGAAATTCTGTAAACGTATTCTGGGAGTTTCTCAGCAAACGCATAACTGGGCATGCAGAGCAGAACTTGGTTTGTTTCCCCTATTATTCAGAGTAATTAAATCAATTGTTCAATTCTACAATCATATTTTACAATCTCCAAATACCATTTTAAAACATGCCTTTAATGAATCAATAAAGATTGCCAAACACAAAATTGGATGGTACTATAAACTCAGTTGCCTCTTAGATAAGTTTAACATCAAGGAAAGTAATCTTACTTCCTCCTCTGTACTGAAGGACCTCCAATTGAAATTTACTGACATATTCCACTCATCTCTTCAAGATAATCCAAACACATTAATTTCAAGGAACAAACTTAGAACATATAGAAAATTTAAATCTGAAATCAACTTTGAACCATACCTGCAACACTGCAAAATAAAAAAACACCGTATCCACTTCACAAAACTAAGACTGAGTGACCATAGACTAAAAATTGAACTGGGTAGGAGAACAAGACCACCTACACCTTTGGAGGACCGTCTGTGTGATAAATGCTCTGTCCTTGAGGATGAACAACACCATTTCATGTGTTGCACTAAATATTCAGATGCAAGAAAGTCCTTATTTAGCTCCCTTTCCTCTAAAATTAATAACTTTCTCAGACTTACTACCACTGAAAAATTTAACCTCCTTTTTAGAAATAATGATCCAAATACTATAGAAATTATTTGCTACCACATGTACAACTTTAAACAAATATAGAAGATCTGATTGTGCTAGGCCATTATTATTATTATTATTATTATTATTATACACATTTGTATTATTATATGTTTTATTGCTCATCATATACATGTGATTCATTATATATCTTGTTTATGTAGTTTATAGAATATTGTCACTGTTTCTGTATGGAACGTTTGCACAATAAATATTTGATTTGAATGATTTGATTTGATTTTATTATGGCCACCTCATCCTCTAAAATTGTGACTTGAAACAATTTTCAGTAAAAATATATATTTTCTTATAAAACGATACCACTGTTCAGTGCTCCAAACAAGTCTGTTATCTTTGCATCACATCCACCTCATGATGGTATAAGAGTTGGCATGTTTATATTGTAGCATGTCTGCCTGCACCCAACACCCATGTTTCTGGCGTCAATTCACAAGCAATAATCATCCGTCTCCCAGTGTGTATGTAACATTGTCATAGATACTGGAAGAGCTTAATTGCATCACCCAAAGTTTGATAATATGTTGAAGGTTATCAGGCCTGTAGAAGGAGCACATGAGTTGACTGGCATTGATCAACATCACTCATTCTGGAAATAGACATTGTTGTACAATTCAGACCTGAAATAGACCTGGATGTGAACAAGATGTTGCAGCTTTGTGGATGCCTGCAGAACTTGTGTACAAAACACAGCTGCTGATGACTGATGGGGTTAAACACAGCACAGGCAAACGGACCAACAGCAAGCAGAGCAATAGTGAGCAGGTCACAGCTAGGAGTAGGTGAGCAGATACAGCAATGGCAAGCAGAAAAAAGGTGAGCAGTTTGAGCAATGGCAAGCAGAAAAAAGGTGAGCAGTTTGAGCAATGGTAAGCAGAAAAAATGTGAGCAGTGGTAAGCAGAACAAAGGTGAGCAGTTTGAGCAATGGTAAGCAGAAAAAATGTGAGCAGTGGTAAGCAGAACAAAAGTGAGCAGTTTGAGCAATGGTAAGCAGAAAAAATGTGAGCAGTGGTAAGCAGAACAAAGGTGAGCAGTTTGAGCAATTAACTTGTTTGAGTGGCATTTTAGAAGTTGAGACGTACAATATATAACAAGTTTTATGGACAATGCTACATAGGTGAAACATCCCGACCCATCAACACCCGAGTCAAAGAACATCGCACCTCTGTTGCTAATTCCGACACCAAATCAGCTATCTCTGACCACATCAAAGCCAACCCCAATCATCAAATAGAGTGGTCCGACATCACCATTCTCGCCAACAACCAAACGGACTTCACTAAACGCAAGCTCACAGAAGCCATTCACATCAAACGCCACAAGCCTACCATCAACCGTGACCAAGGATACTTCATTCGACTGCTTATGATCCACTCCTCCACCAAGCCCAGTCTATTGTATAAACTTAGCATCCATTGTATAAACATCTCATTGTAACTACATCTCTGGCTTCCATTCACTATCCTTTATGTACTTACTGGCTTCATCAGCTTACTGCTTAGCCAATCATGGCAATTATGTTGTTTCCTTTGTCTATTATGTTGTTTCATTGTTATATACAGTATATATATGCAGCTCCTACACTTCATGTATCACTCTTGCTTGACAACGGTACAAGAATCTGTATCGAAACGTCGCACTCACGAAAATAAAGAAGTTGTTATCCATAAAACTTGTTATATATAGTTTGAGCAATGGTAAGCAGAAAAAATGTGAGCAGTGGTAAGCAGAACAAAGGTGAGCAGTTTGAGCAATGGTAAGCAGAAAAAGGTGAGCAGTGGTAAGCAGAACAAAGGTGAGCAGTTTGAGCAATGGTAAGCAGAAAAAAGGTGAGCAGTGGTAAGCAGAACAAAGGTGAGCAGTTTGAGCAATGGTAAGCAGAAAAAATGTGAGCAGTGGTAAGCAGAACAAAGGTGAGCAGTTTGAGCAATGGTAAGCAGAAAAAGGTGAGCAGTGGTAAGCAGAACAAAGGTGAGCAGTTTGAGCAATGGTAAGCAGAAAAAAGGTGAGCAGTGGTAAGCAGAACAAAGGTGAGCAGTTTGAGCAATGGTAAGCAGAAAAAGGTGAGCAGTTTGAGCAATGGTAAGGTGAGCAGTGGTAGAGAACAAAGGTGAGCAGTTTGAGCAGAAAAAAGGTGAGCAGTGGTAAAGCAGAAAAAAGGTGAGCAGTGGTAAGCAGAACAGAAGTGAGCAGTTTGAGCAATGGTAAGCAGAAAAAAGGTGAGCAGTGGTAAGCAGAACAGAAGTGAGCAGTTTGAGCAATGGCAATCAGAAAAAAGGTGAGCAATGGTAAGCAGAAAAAATGTGAGTAGAAACAGCAATGGTAAGCAGAACAGAGGTGAGACAGCATATGTTACATATATATATATACATTATATATTTATATATATTTATATAGCGCCAATATCCAGATCACCTGCTCAAAGGCGCTTTGTTTTTCCCTCGATCATTGGATGTCAGTCTCAAACAGCACATAGAATTATCAATCTCAACTCCCTGGGAATCATACAACTCTTGCAGCCACAAGGCGCACTGAGTTAATGTGGCTTTTCCCATCTTTATGAGGTACCCATTCACAGCTGGGTGGACTCGGACAGATGGTCACAGTACTTTGTACTTTTTTACTGCATGTTGCTGTACCTGCAACTAGGTGTTTGCACGTATTTATGTGGCCACCATCTGGTCATATACCAACGGATTCGTGGATACTTTTAAGTGCACAGGGTTGTGTACTGTACACTAGGGGTTGTGAGAACACTGAGAGAGTCTGCACACAAAGTTGACTCCAAGGTGTTTACACCCGGTCACAGGTGGGCTCAAGCTCAGTGGATCACTAGCCTGGCACCTTAGCCAGGTCACCCACCATGCTCCCATTGGGCAATGGTAAGCAGAACAAAGGTGAGCAGATCGAGCAATGGTCAGCAGAACATAAGTCAGCAGAATACTGGGAAGTAGGGGTAACCTGAGCAAACGAAAGGGTTTAAAAGATGTTTGCACATTTAATATATGAATGGTAAGGTAATTCATCAACACAGATGCTTCACACGGGGAACTGTAACTACCAACTACTGGCTGTCCGAGCAAGGCAAATGGATGAAACAGTGATTCCTCAACAGATGCAAGAATGGGGATTAGATGGTCAGACTGAGTGAGAGTGACGATGGTGAGAGAAAGATTTCCTCTGTGGCATGTTTTTCCATGAGTCATCGTTATATTCCTCACACTTCCAACCCCTGGTTGGCATGATTCAAGACAAACTCACTCACTCAAGCCAAACTGTTTAGATTCTCTTCACAAGTCCAGTTGCAGTGTTTCATGGGAGTCTGATGAGCATTTATTCAGCTCATGGCTCAGTTGGGATAAAACACAACATGGGAGTCTTTCAAGCCCTACAAGAAACACATGCTCCTGTACAATCAGTCGGGAAAGAAGCGATGATACAAGGTTTTCTCCACATTCTCACAGCTATCTGTTTACTTTCTGATGCTTGTAGAAACAAAGAACAAGGATAATATAATACTTTGTATACACTAAATGATAATATTTGCTTTACAGCTATCTGCAAATAATGTTCATCCTTTACTTCAGTCCAGATTTTTAACTGTTTTTCACTTAATCAAAGTAAGCAAGTTGTCAGTTTGAAAGAGAAATAAACAGGGCAAAAGTGAGCAAATCGATTCCTTATTTTTATTTTCGGTTCAATCTACATTTTGCAACACAGCCCTGACACAGGTAATTGAGCGCTTTAGAGAAAACACAACTTTCTCTCGTTAGCTCTGACAAGTATTCCCGAGTGCTCCACACAAGTGCTTCTCGTCTTTTTCTCTCTCTATCTCCTTTTATTTGTCCATTAATTCAATCAGTCTGTTTACAATCACCAACAGAGGGAGCCAGTGTAATGTCAACATCTCGTGGGGAGAGCGAAAACTTCCACCATTGAGAAGTAAAATGATAGTCCAGGGCTGAAAGTGAGGGCGTGAAATGAGCCCAGGTGATAAAACAATGTCTGCCATTCAAAACAAATTATTCTGCGGATGTCTAGAACTTAAACAAGGTGTGTGACAAGACTTTGCACCCATTTGTCTCTCAGAGTTGAAAATGAAGTGGAACAATAATTACACATAATCAGGGTTCGGTATAGCTCAGTTTGGTTTTGTTTAGAATCGTGGATATTGATGGAACAAAAAAAACATGGTGAGTCACAGTCAAGGGGAGATAACACTTGTCAGGCAGCGATAGACATGTCAGTTGTATATCTGATATGGTACAACAACTGACTGGGGGGAAATCAACAGTTTACTGCACACATAAGCTGATATGACATTAAGACCCAACATCTGCAAACTGCCAGCATCAATCATCATCATCATCAACAGCACCACCACATCCAGGATCACTACCACCACCACCATCATCATCATCATCATAAGCAGCATCGCAACAACCAGGATCACTACCACCACCACCATCATCATCATCATCATCATCATCATCCAGCATCACCATAAGCAGCATCGCAACAACCAGGATCACTACCACCACCACCATCATCATCATCATCATAAGCAGCATCACAACAACCAGGATCACTACCACCACCACCACCATCATCATCATAAGCAGCATCACAACAACCAGGATCACTACCACCACCACCATCATCATCATCATCATCATCAGCATCATCATCATCATCATAAGCAGCATCACAACAAAGCCAGGACACACCACACATCATCATCATCATCATAAGCAGCATCGCAACAACCAGGATCACTACCACCACCACCACCATCATCATCATAAGCAGCATCGCAACAACCAGGATCACTACCACCACCACCACATCATCATCATCATCATCATCATCATCATCATCATAAGCAGCATCACCACCACCATCATCATCATCAACAACCAGGATCACTACCAACCACACTACACCACCACCACCACATCATCATCATCATCATAAGCAGCATCACAACAACCAGGATCACTACCACCACCACCATCATCATCATCATAAGCAGCATCACAACAACCAGGATCACTACCACCACCACCACCATCATCATCATCATCATAAGCAGCATCGCACAACCACCAACAACCAGGATCACTAGGATCACTACCACCACCACCACCATCATCATCATCATCATAAGCAGCATCGCAACAACCAGGATCACTACCACCACCACCATCATCATCATCATCATCAGCATCAACAACCAGGATCACTACCACCACCACCATCATCATCATCATAAGCAGCATCACAACAACCAGGATCACTACCACCACCACCATCATCATCATCATCAAGCAGCATCACAACAACCAGGATCACTACCACCACCACCATCATCATCATCATAAGCAGCATCGCAACAACCAGGATCACGATCACTACCACCACCACCATCATCATCATCATAAGCAGCATCGCAACAACCAGGATCACTACCACCACCACCATCATCATCATCATCATAAGCAGCATCACAACAACCAGGATCACTACCACCACCACCATCATCATCATCATCATCATCATCATCATCCATCATCATCCAGCATCATCATCATCATCATCATAAGCAGCATCATTAGCAGCATCACAACAACCAGGATCACTACCACCACCACCATCATCATCATCATAAGCAGCATCGCAACAACCAGGATCACTACCACCACCACCATCATCATCATCATCATAAGCAGCATCGCAACAACCAGGATCACTACCACCACCACCATCATCATCATCATCATCATCATAAGCAGCATCACAACAACCAGGATCACTACCACCACCACCACCATCATCATCATCATCATAAGCAGCATCCCAACAACCAGGATCACTACCACCACCACCACATCATCATCATCATAAGCAGCATCGCAACAACCAGGATCACTACCACCACCACCATCATCATCATCATAAGCATCATCATCATCATCATCATAAGCAGCATCGCAACAACCAGGATCACTACCACCACCACCACCATCATCATCATCATCATCATCACCACCACCATCATCATCATCATAAGCAGCATCACTACACCACCACCATCATCATCATCATAAGCAGCATCGCAACAACCAGGATCACTACCACCACCACCATCATCATCATCATAAGCAGCATCGCAACAACCAGGATCACTACCACCACCACCATCATCATCATCATAAGCATCACAACAACCAGGATCACCACCACCATCATCATCACTACACCCACCATCATCATCATCATCATCATCATCATAAGCATCACTACCACCACCACCAATCCATCATCATAAGCAGGATCACTACCATCACCATACCACCAGGATCACCACCACCACCATCATCATCATCATAAGCACTAACCACCACCATCATCATCATAAGCAGCATCCAACAACCAGGATCACTACCACCACCACCATCATCATCATCATAAGCATCGCAACAACCAGGATCACTACCACCACCACCATCATCATCATCATCAAGCAGCATCATCGCAACAACCAGGATCACTACCATCACCACCATCATCATCCAGGATCATCCACCACCATCATCATCATCACAACAACCAGGATCACTACCACCACCACCACCATCATCATCATCAAGCAGCATCGCAACAACCAGGATCACCACCACCACCATGATCAGCACCACCACAACCAGAATCACTACCACCACCACCACCATCATCATCATCATCATCATCATCATCAACCACCGCCATCATCAACAGCAGCAGAATCACCACCACACAATCATCACCTGAACAACATCATCATCATCATCATCAACAACAACTGCACAACAACAACCAGGATCACCACCACCACCACCATCATCGTCGTCATCATCAACAGCAGCAGCACCACCACACAATCATCACCAGAACAACCATCATCACCTTGTCATCAAAAGCACCACCTCAACAACAACAACCACCACCACCATCAACATCATGGTCATCATCGTTATCACCAGCACCACATCGTCCTCACCTAAACAACAACTACTACTACTACTGCAGCCTCTACTACTACCAAAACCTAAAACTGTGTTTTACAGCTACTATTACGTCAACCGCCATCTCCACATTTGGTATGACATAGTCTGTCATACAGACCCTGAAGCAAATATATCCAAGAAAACCCATGCAAGTCTAGAAAATATGGCAAGTCTAGATTTCCACAGCTTCTGAAAATGAAGAAAGTCTCAGGGCTCCTTTTCATTATATTTTATTTTTGTTACTATGAGATTTTTTTCTGTAAAATATGTTCATTTCAGAGATGAGTTGTTAGTCTAGGTATAATACAACAACCATTTTCAGAAATCTGTTCAGAAGAAATTCTGAAATAAACTGACTAAGGGACCGTTCATAATTTATGGCTAGGGGGTGGGGGTGGGGTGTGTGATGATGATTTTTATGGAGAAGCATGTACAATGTGAATGACCCACCCTAAACTTTATGTACAAAGTAAGTGACCCCCCTGCATGTCATGTACAAAATCAATGACCCCCTCCCCTTCCCATAATTTTTAAGCATAATTTTTTGATAATATTTATGCACAAAATTGATGACCCCCTAGTAGATGTGTACAAAATTGATGACCCCCCACCTCCCCAGAACAAAATGGGTGACCCCCCCTTAAAATCATCATCAGGCCCCCCCTAGCCAAAAATTATGAACGGTCCCTAACTTTAAAACTCAGATTCAGACAAAGTTTCTCAGTACTTCAAACTTGTTCCCTTTTTTGTCATATGTGAAATCAATTTTTTCCATATTTTTCACTCACTTCTGTAGGAATTCAAACATGGCATCTGAAAGACATAAAAGTCACACGTGTTTACCGTTAAGTTGTTGGCAACTTATTTCATATGAGGCATAGTATCTCACTAATTTGTATCTAAATAACTATAAGTTTCATATCAAGTGTAATTTAATTTAATGAGAATGGCAGATTCCAACTGAATAGGTTCACAGACTGTTTCAATCTGATTTTCACATACAATATTTGATGAAGAAGATAAGAAAATACTTTAACATTTAAAATATGTCTGGAAAAGACATTCCATTCTCATAAAGAATTTGATGACAGAAATGTATTGAACTAGAAACCCCCATGTGTGGGAGGGCGAGAAAGGGTGCAACTGCCACAGTGACATCAGTGATATCATATAATAGCCAAACTACACACCATGTTTGTACCGGTAATATGTTGGACAAAGCCAACATTAGACAGACATCTGAGTCTCTTAGCTGTTTCATTTTATCCAAACTTCTTCGCTAGTTGATGTGAATGTTATTTGAGGAGGTTTGATGAGGGTTTAATATCATGTTTGAGATGTAATACTAGTAGTGCTTACATTCTGAATTGATGTGAAGTCTCACTTCCTGATGTAATTCACAGTCCATCCTCGTCTTTAGGAGCAGGACAACAGATACCACCTCAGTCTGACCTTGGAGTACTTGCTGATTCCCAGAATATGTCATTATGTGCATACTTCCAGACTCCTGTTACAGATGGGAACATCTGCCCAGCAACACCTGAAGCTCCTTGGAATGAAACCTGCCAGATAGAATACCAGGTTCTGTAGCAGACTCATTCCTTCTAACATCATGAACCACTGACACTTTCATGTACAGCAGTACTACATAGAAATATACTGGCATGGAATCATCAATCAAACTTCTTCCATTGTCCAATGTCATGTCATTATATCTATATACAGGCAATACAATATATGACTACTGTGATGGGATTCAAACCTCGAGGCTGGGCACCTTGTCCACATGACCATTGAGGTCTTACACATCTGACAAGGTGAGGATGCCATTTCACTCCACACCTTGCTACAGCTGCAAGCATCAAATGGGGTCTTGTCATTTTGTTCGCTACAGTCTATGAAATTTGCTTTTAACATTCAGGACATCTCATTTCAGCCCAATGTGTCTTTCACTGATGATGAAAGTTTAAAACAAAAGTAAGTTAGACAAATTAAAAGAATTTAAAAAGACTGACTGTTGCACATGGTGGCAGCATCATGTTAAGATAACATCCTGGGCCTTGCTTAGATAGAAGTGTGCATACTGACAAGTACAGCTAGTTTAACAGTTGAACAAAACGGAAATTGGTCTTTCAATTATGCATCATAATTTATTGAAGAGTTCAAGATTATTGTCTGTTTACAAATGATCTGAATCATCAGGGTGTAAATGTAGACAGCATATAATCACTGATAATATATAATTGTAATGACATTAATTTGCAGAGTGGTTCAGGAGAAATACTATGTCAGCTGTGTACCAGTCGTAGATCATGTAGAGCGTACCATTACAGAATGATATTTCCAGTCATCACATGGTTGCTACAACAAAGCTTTGACACAGTGATCATCATGTGGATCCCTTCAAGCCATCAGTTCCCTTGTAATTCTCCACAGGAGACATCATTTTATAAAGAGTTCCATCCATGCTTTGAAGACCATCACAGTAAATCACAGTGATTATTAAAATAAAGTTATGCTACTTTAAAGAAGTCAAGAAACACTTAATTTCTTCTCGTGACTTTAGTTAATCTGCATTGGCCGCGACAATCTATCTATTGTCATATAATGATGGTTCTTCATGAAAACACATTTGATTCTTGGTTTGAAAACAAAATGGTACAGTTGATGTCTTTGAGTAGTACAGATTACAGATGTAAAAAAAACAAATTATAAGTACATTATTACATGTGCAATAAATATCTTATCTTAAGTTTAGTGCCAGTTTGGGTGTATGTTTATCTTCATTGTGGGTATAATCTGCTGTCATAATATTTTCCATTCTGTAAATATACATCATAGCTTGTTAATCCACCGCAAGTATTTCCCCCAGATGGGTTAAACTATGTTATTAACAATTTACATAGTGTACATGAGTGTGGGGTTTACGTAGAGGTTGTTGTCCCAAATGTACATTTCCCACATAAGTGGCAAGTACAACGCACTTAGCACGGCAATGTACACCAGCCTCACGGTGACAGTATTCCACATCAGCATCTGGTAAAACAGTCCTTCATCAGGCAATTATCACCATAACTTGTTCTAACCAGGAAGTGCTCTTTGGACATAGGCTTTCCAGAATTCCTGGCGTGAACTGTGCAAGCAATGTCAACACTCTCCCCCAGCAGGAAGTCTCCATATTCCTTGCTAATTTCACTCACAGCTCTGTGAGGTGGTGTTGGGTTTCTCAAGAGATGGGATCCTGGACAATATAGTCAGTAATAGAAGAGATCTGTGAGGACAATATCTTCAGTACCGTATTGTCAGTAATAGAAGAGATCTGTGAGGACAATATCTTCAGTACCTTATAGTCAGTAATAGAAAAGATCTGTAAAGACAATATCTTGAGAACCATATAGTCAGTAATAGAAGAGATCTGTAAGGACAATATCTTCAGTACCGTATAGTCAGTAATAGAAGAGATCTGTAAGGACAATATCTTGAGAACCTTAT